ATGGACTGGCCAGGTCCCTGATTACTCACATTTAAGAATTTTTGGGTGTGCTGTCTATTCTCATCAGAGTGTTGGTAAGTTAGAATCTAGGGCCATTAAATGTGTTTTCCTAGGCTATCCTGATGGGGTAAAGGGCTATAGACTGTGGAGTAAGAAAACAAAGGGTTTTTAAATCATCACAAGTAGAGATGTTATTTTTGATAAATTAAAAATGCCTTGTTAGAATAATATTGAGTAAAATGGCCAATCTGAAAGAGAAAAGAATAATAAAACCAGATTGCAGGTGGAGGTTGATACTCCATCTGAACCCGTTCTAGGTGAATAGGTGGAAGAAGAGGCAGAAAATGGTTCATATCCTCATGAAAAATGAAGAACAAGGTGTGCAAGAAAGCATAGAAACTCAGCCTACAGAATTAGGTGATTATCAATTGTCTAGAGATAGGATAAGAATGGAGATAAAAGAACCCATTAGGTATAGAGATTACCGTTCACTTGCCGTTATTTCTTATCAAAATCTTATCTTTGAAGAAACTAAATCTTATGAAGAGGCTATTAACAACCAGCAATCTGTAACCCCTAGGCTACTATGAAAGATGAAATGGACTCCTTAATGAAAAATAAGACTTAGAATTTAGTTCCTGAACCTGCTGATAAGTCTATTTTGACTGTAAATGGATATTTACTATTAAAAAGGGAAATGATGAGAAAATGTCTATAAGATTTGAGGCTTGACTAGTAGCTAAGGGGTTTACGCAAAAAGAAGGCATAGATTATAATGATATTTTTTCCCAGGTAGTAAAATACACTACTATTAGAGTTATGCTTGCTCTTGTGGCACATTATAATCTTGAACTCGAACAAATGGATGTAAAAACCTGCCTTATTGCATGGTGATCTTGATGAAGTGATATATATGAAACAATCACGTGGTTTTGTTGATGAATCTATGCCTGAACATGTTTGCTTGTTAAAAGCATTCTCATATGGTTTAAAGCAATCTCCAAGACAATGGTATTTATGATTTGATAACTTTGTACCTACTATTGGTTTTACAAGAAGTAAATTTGATCATTATCTTTACTTTAAGTATGGTGAAGAAAATGAAATTATTGCTTTTATACTCTTGTATGTTGATGATATATTATTAATAGGGCAAAACATGCATGTGGTCAATAATATTAAAGGATCCTTAAGCAAAGAATTTGAAATGAAAGACCTTAGCCATGCTAAAAGAATTTTGGGGATGGAAATAATCAGAAATAGGAGTAATAGAACATTGAGCCTAAAACAATCAGGCTATATTGAGAAAATGTTAGTTAGATTTGCTATGAATAATGCAAAATCTATTACTCTCCCCTTAACCAGCCATTTTAAACTAAGTAAGGACCAATGCCTGGTGAACAAATATGAGATTAAACAAATGAAAAAGGTACCCTATGCAAATGTAATACGATCAGTCATGCACACCATGGTTTGCACTAGGCCCGATGTGGCTCATTCCATTAGCACACTTAACAAATTCATGGCTAACCCTAGACCTAAACATTGGGTTGCTTTAAAATGGTTGTTGAGGTATTTGAAAGGTTCATCACACTTAGGCTTAGTTTTTGGTACCTGCAAAGAGGGTGTGGTACTTAAGGGCTTTGTTGATTTTAACTTTGCTGGAAATAGAAAGAACAAGAAATCTACTACTGCCTATGTGTTTACTTTGTGTGGAACTCGTATATGTTGGTAATCACAATTCCAACAAGTTGTAACTTTGTCTACCACCGAGGTAGAATATGTGGCTGCAACTGAGGCAATCAAAGAAGCCTTATGGCTTAAAAGGTTAACTTTCTGAAATAAATGAATTAAGCAGTCCTATTGTACTATATTAAGACAGTCACAGTAACATACAAAGAACAAAATGCATTGATGTAAAATTACATTTTATAAGAGATATTGTATCTAAAGAAATTTTGTTCCTTGAGAAAATTGCTACTAAATTCAGTCCAGCAGACATGGGCACAAAGGTATTGCCTTTAAACAAGTTTAAAACCAGTTTGCATATGTTGAATTTTGATACTAGGTAATTTTTGTGGCGTTTGCAAGTTGTATACTTGGGGCTTGCTGGAAATACTGGGAAGCTTTTGTGTTTTCTTTAATAAGTTTTGTAGAATCTATTAACTAGCTTCTTGTATTACCACTGGCATCAAGGTGGAGAATTGTTGGGTTGTGATGCCAGTCTTGGTCCTATAATCTTAGGCAATGATGATATTTGCCTTCGGCCTAGATACTACACAAATAATCTTACCCAATAACAATATCTGAGATGGCCCACTTACCACGACCCGATATTCAGCCCAATTGTATGAGAGTTGCTCTGGATCGTTGGATTAAGATACAGATCTACGACTGATTAGTTTTACTATAAATACAAAGTCTCTAACCCTAATTTGCAAGATATTTTTCATTCTCTTTCTCCTTCAGCCACTTGGAACCTTCTAGGTTCCTGTTCTTCGTCTGTTCATCTCCTCTTTGTAAGATCAAAATCTATGTGTCTTCTTCGTGTGAGTAAATTGAAATCTATGTTAAGAATCTAAAAATCTGTCCATTGAAGCAACCCCACGTTGGGAATGTGTGAGGGTTATGGTTCGAGTTAGGGCCTCTTTTGATGATACAAAAGGGTACAAGGATCTGAGCCTAAATCAGTTACTATTCTTGGTGTCCAGTGGTAAATTTGTATAGTTTCAGAAAGTGTAGTTTCAGATTTGTAATTTTCTTGAAAAGAGTTGTGTATAGCTTGCTTTCTTTATTTATTCATTTGTCATAAATTATAGTCCACTTTCCTTATAAAGTGTATAGTTTATTTCATAGTTTGTAATATGCTTCCATTCACGTGTCTTGTTATCAACAAAGATGAACTAATGCTATTTAAACAATTATTCAATGTAGGGGTAAATTGGAAAAAATGTCAGTAAAATTTATTTTTTAAATTATATTAATTAAATTTTTTAATCTGGTGAAAATGGATGGAAACACATTTTTATAAGATAGAGGGAGTACTTATCTAGGAACAATAATATAATATTCTTATAAATAAATTGTGGTTCTTCAAGAGCAATGATACAATTGTCGTCTATAATTTTGATGTGTACAAATTTGTGCTCTTTAAGAACAACAATATTCTTCTGGAATACTGATTTGTATAAGATTGCGATATCTCTAACACAAAATAATATTCTTAAAAAAATATTGATAGATAAAAATCTATACTTATTCTAGAACAATAATATAACAATTCTACATATACAAAGTTACACTTTTCAGAGTAATAAATTAGTAGTCAAATAGCATATTTTTTCCCGTAATCGATAAAATTATAACAAAAATAAATAACAAATTCTAATAGTTTATAATCAAGAATACTGACCTTTTCTTTTGGATAGAAAAGAAGAATCGTCTTACTAATTTAATTGGTTCAAACTTCTTATCTTTCTCTGATGGAAAGAAAATTAATATTTTTCTATCTCAACTGGCTAGATATTCATGCTGATAATGTATTATAAATTAGAGGGAAATAGAAAAGATTAAAGAGAGTCAATAAACTTGTGTATATATTATTGAAAAAGAAGTCATATACGTATACGTAAGAATTAGAATTGAATGGGTACAAAATACTAGGATTTTGTAGTAGCTTCTAGAATTATTATTATATTTTTATTCGACAAACATTGTTACAATAATTATGTCACGCGATTTTTAGAGATATCACAACGTCAATAATTCAGTTTAGTAGTTGTATCTAATAAACTTACATTGTGCAATAGTTAGGTTTCATCTGTCCCTCCGAAGTCTTATAGGGATTGTGAATTTATTAATAAGGAAAATGAAAAGGTAATATTCAAATTACCATAAACTGAATAGTCAACCAAAAGAAATTACCCTCCCAAAAAAACACGCCATTAACAACCTAACATATTGACATTTAATTTCAAAGCTTCATCATTTTATCTAGATGCCATCAACAATGACATTTTCAATAAATTGCAACTTTTGATGATGACAGAAAAATGATTATATATAAAAATAAATATATAAATCTCTGTCCTCCAGAAGTTATGTGTTCAAAGGTTTAAAAAGGAAATTGTCTTAAATTTAAGATTTAACAACCATGAAATTATTTATTTTGACATCCATGCAATTATGGAAGGAGTTGAAGCTGAAATTATAAACAAATGAATTATTATACTCTTTTAGAGTTTCAAATTTTTAATTACCACGGTCAAACAAGAACATAAATAATCATACAAGTGTCATTATAAACATTTTATCTTAACAATGACGTCAACGATAAAAAATGAATCATCTAACTGTACCCAAAGCTTCATTTGTCATTGTTATGGTCCTTACAAAAATCTTTAAATGAGTAATAAATGACTCTTGAAATGAATCGAAACAAAGGGTTGTAAGACAAATCTTTCGATAATAGGTTCTTAGTAAATTCTAATAAAAATTGGTGAAATATGTGATTAAAATTGAAGTAACAAATTGTTAAACTTTTATCAATCTTTTATTAAACAAGCACAAAATTTGAGCTATATCTCACTTCGTATTGTTGCTGGCCCCAAAGCTTAGTTAGTTGTTGTCGGGTCCTTGAGGATATTTCAATTTTGTCCTATGATTTGAATGCACAAAATGTAGCAAAAAGGTCAATTCAAATGATATGTGTGTGAGGTCAGGTGGTACCATAATATTTTAGGCATGACAGCTGTCTCTGTAGCCAAGCTCTTGTCTAATATTTATATATTCAACAACCATTTGCTTCGTATGAAACCGTCCTAATCGACTTTGCTTTAAAGTTCTTAAATAAACCATTGAATTCTCATCAAATGTATCACACAGCTGGCCCTGGAAAATGAATTTTCTTGCAGCATTTGTCAAACATTAATTACGATTAATGCAAATTTTCCCTCTATATAAAGCATCATTTGATCAATCCCTTCACAACACAGAAATCTAAATTCTCTCTCTCTCTCTCTTTCTCTCTCTATATCGCTTTCTCACTGTAAATTTGAGGAAAAAAATGTTATCTTTATGCTCTGCAATGATCCAACTCTCAATATTATTATTTATTACTTTTCTAATGGCGGCCTCAGCTGGTAACTTTTACCAAGATGTCGACCTCACTTGGGGCGATCAACGAGGCAAGATTCTCAATGGCGGCCAAGATCTTACCTTATCCCTTGACAAAAATTCTGGTTCGGGTTTTCAATCCAAAAATCAGTTCTTTTTGGGAAGATTTGACATGCAACTGAAGCTCGTACCCGGAAATTCAGCTGGAACTGTTACAACATATTATGTAAGTCTTACATGTTTTCAGAATTTCATTTCTATTGGATTTTTATTGTGATATATTTGGTTTATGAGGAGCTAATTTATTTGTTCCATTAATTTGCAGTTATCTTCTCAAGGAACTCAACACGATGAGATTGATTTTGAGTTTCTTGGAAATGTTTCTGGCCAGCCATATACAGTTCATACCAATGTTTATTCCCAGGGAAATGGCAATAAAGAACAACAGTTTCGCCTTTGGTTCGATCCCACTACATCTTTCCACACATATTCTGTTGTTTGGAATACACAACGCATTATGTAAGCTTCTACAATTCTTATTTTTAACAAGAAAAGAATTCTATTAGAATATTCGAATAACCATACCTTCTACAGGATACACAAAATTTCTGAATTTTAAGTTTCGTTGCTACCAATACATAAAACTGTGCACAAGATGGAGTTTTGGTGAAAAAACTAATATGATCCCTAACACGTAAGGAGAACGTTTATGACAAACTTTAATATAACATATTTGACAACCATTATTTGAAATTTTTTTTCGTAAGTATTCATTTTTAACCACACATTCATATAATAAAATATTTTATATGTAAACTCAAATTTTTTTTTTTTAATTTTTAAACATAGATTCTCCTAAAAATTATTATTCAAACCATTGTTTTTGAAAAACAATGGTTGTCAAACTGGGGCTAACCAAGGAAACTGAATTTAAATGGATTTATTATTCAAAAAGAAAAAGGATAAACGTAAATGGAATTTCTCGACTGATAAATGTTTTTTTTTCTGTGTGGGTTTTCAGTTTCTTGGTGGATAGTATCCCTATAAGAGTATTTACCAACCATGAAGCCATTGGGGTTCCATATCCCAAGAGCCAACCCATGAGGGTATATTGTAGTTTATGGAATGCAGACGATTGGGCAACACAAGGTGGGACGGTCAAGACTGATTGGACAAAAGCTCCATTTATTGCCTCCTACAGAAATTTCAATGCAAATGGTTGCGTATCGGGATCACCCGGCACATCTTGTGTTTCGAAAACTGGTGAACCTTTAAACAATGAAGCTTGGCAAACTCTGGCGCTTGATGCCAATGGGAGGAATAGGCTGCGATGGGTACAAGAAAAGTATATGATATATAATTATTGTACTGATGTTCAAAGGTTTCCTCAAGGACTTCCACCTGAATGCAAGCGTTCAAGGTTCTAGGATTAATTTTCTTGGCGTAAATATATTTTCTTCGTTTGTAAACTGCAATTTTGCCAAATTCTTTGTTTCTATGCTGCAAAAGATCTGAATAAAAACTTCATATTTTTCTTTTACGTTAGGTTGGGCCGGAAACAGTTGGAACTGAAAATTGTCATGAAAAGCTAAAATTCATAGTTGTTAGAGAACTTGATATAAATTCGAGAAAAATTGTTAAAAAAGTTTACTGGAATCAAGAAATTTGTTGACCTCTTTTTTGTTCCGTTGACTTGGGCAATTCGTAAGCTAATTTCAACACGTGTAGATAGATTACTAGTCGGCAATATCTTGAATTTGATCGTAGGAGAAACTTAATAACACAAGACAAATATGTTCGGGTTTCGTCAAGATATATGAGCGAAATTATGATATAAGGAACAATCAACAAAAGACCAAACAATAGATTAAAAAATCGATGTTCGATTCTTACAATAGATAAAAAGATTTAACTCATGATAAGAAGCTTGTAGCTTTGAATTGGTAAAGGTGCTTTAGCCTTTTATAATACAAGGAGGGAGGTATTTATATTATTGCACATGAAATAGTGTCCATTCACTACTAAAAAACAGAGTTTCAGACACGAGTTTTTCGTTCCTAAAGTCTCAATATCCGTTGCTAATAATCTTTACCAACAGAATATTTGCAACCACAAATCCGTTAGTAATCTGAGAGTCGCTGAAAGTTACCAACGGATCGTGCCATAGGTAAAGAGTAAACATTTTACCAACGGATTTTCCGTTGGTAAAGTGTGAATCTTTTACCAATGAAATTTTCGTTGGTAAAAGTCTTAATCAATGCCAACTGACTTTCCGTTGGTAAATGTCTACCATTACAACTGGTAAAAATCAATGTTGTAAATAATCGTATGGTAAAAAAATTATTTATTATTATTATCATCATCATCATCATCATCATCATCATCATCATCATTATTATTTATTTATTTAATAATTATAATTTTTTTTTAATTTTTAGCCAACTGAATTGAAAGGCCAAAATATTGTTTAACTCCTTATTGGACCACAAATTTATAAAGAGCAACAACATGAAAGATCAAAATGTTAAGCAATTATATTAAGCACGGAATATCCGTTGGTAAAGAGATATCATTTTTACTAACTGATAATCCGTTTCTAATTACCAACGGAATATCCGTAGGTAAAAGATCAAAATGTTAAATAGTTATACTAGGTACGGAATATCCGTACCAACGAAAAATTCATTGCTGATTATTGTAGCTAAAAGTGAATTACTTTTACCAACGAATAATCCGTTTCTAATTACCAACGGATGCAATCCGTTGGTAATATTTGGTACATCACCTACAGAATATTCGTTGGAGGAAGATCCAAATGTTAAACGGTTACATTAGGCATGAAATATCAGTTAGTAAAAAGAGATCATCTTTACCAACGAAAAATTCGTTGCTAATTATCATAGCTAAAAGTGAATTACTTTTACCAACGAATAATCCATTTCTAATCACCAACGGATGTAATCTTTTGGTAATTTTTCGTAGGCGAAAAGCTGTTTTTTAGTTGTGATTGGATGAGGGAACACATGCCTTCATCTCATTAATTGGAGCATCATATCCTAAACATTAGTTTGATCTCACTAGCGTGTGACACATTTAATGCCTTTAAAGGGAGCAATAGTCCTACAACTTATGTTGATAAGCTTTGGCATATCATTCATTATAGAAGTGAAATAAATCATTCTACCAAGATTTCATGAATTTAGGATCTTCAACTAAGAGTCATCACTTGTCACTGTTGAACTTCGGATTCAACCTTGGCCCTTACCACTTCGGCAAAGGGCTACGTCAAAAGGCTTTGGTAGGTAGGCCATGTAGGATGCCAGGTGGTAAAGCACACCAATAGTCCCCAAAGTCCATGTATGGCTATTCATGTCATGCTTGGACTTCTGTCTTGAATGGAATTTTCTCAAAGTTGGCGACTAGGGTTTCGATACACAATAGTCCCTCAAGTCCAAGTGTAGACATTGTTATCAAAGTTGGAATTTGAAATTGAATCGGATTCTCGTACGCCATCCTATCCTTGTACGATGGCGAGCTGTTGAAAATAGCTAAAATTGGTTTGATGAATCGAAGCAGAGCTGAACTGTCGAGACTCATTTATTTAATAGCTGATATTTGTTTGATGAGTCGAAGTAGTGTAATGCTGAACTATTGAGGCTCCTTTATTTAATAGCTCAAATTTGTTTGATAAGCAGGATAGTATTGAATTGCCTAGGCTCTTTTATTTAATAGCTGAAATTTATTTGATGAGCCAAAATAGGGTAGTGCTAAACTGCCGAATGTCCTTTAGTTAATAACCAAAAAAAGTGTGCTTTCGATAATAATGCCAATGATTTGATTTTTTTGCTAGTTACCTAGAGAAGACAAATGAATTGTTTCGACTTCCAACACACGTACGACCGTTACATATTGAATGTGCAATGGTGGCCATGCTGCAGAAATTTGAGGTCGACGTGTCGAGACTTGTGTGTAAGATACACATATCAATCAGAGGCATTGATAGAGAAAAAATTGTTGGAATTCAACGCCTTAAATGAGGTTAAAAAATGGACGCTTCATATGAAGTAGATCTTGATCTAATGGCTGAGCTTCATCATATTTTATAAAAACCAAAAACCTACCTTTGAATAAGTTTTTTTTAGCTTTGCAAAAAGTTTCAAATTTCTCCAGCAGTTACCTGCCATTCCTGTTCTCCAACGACATCACATTCCTTAGAGTTTCTTTTGATTTAGGTACTTTATTCCTTTTCCATCCTCTATTTAATCTATTTCAAATTTCAATTGCTCCTAGGTCTAGTGCTAACAGTGGGAGGAAAACCATCGCCAGTCTTGGGAATCAGATCATGTCTGGGATGTCAGATGGAGGTTTTTGGACCATAAGTGAAGGTCCTATTGACTACGAAGCGGGTTGGGCGATGCAGAAAATCATTTTTCCATGACCTCTACTAAACTAGATGAATTAGAGAGAAATATAAGATCCAAGATGTTATAAAACTCTTAGAACTCGAAGCCCACGGATGAGACTAGATTGTGTGGCAGTTAATGAATGTTTATTTAAGGCAAGTATTTGCATCTACCTCCATACCCATTTTTTATGGTGGTGCTCAGGTCCTACATGTTGGCTCCTATCCAATTATTGCCAAATGGGTGGAGCAAATTGGTTAGGGCGTACTTCCTTTGGCAAGAGACCTCACTTGGCGAGGATATGTTCCTCCACGTCTTCCAATTTCTTTTCTAGCCTCAAATAATTGGGAAAGAAAAATCTAAGGGATGGTAATATATGACTCCTTGGGGAGCTCACTCCCATTTCGTAGCAAGTTTACCATCTTCAATAAAGGGGTGGAAAAAGTCATGACTCTGGATCAGGGATAAGTGGCAGTTAGTTGAGAGAGATAAATCCCTAGCTTACACCGTGCTGACCCAATATTCTAAAGCTCGTGAGTTCCTTTCTTTAAAATTTGTAATCTGTTTATAGCTTCACCTGATGTTTAATTGTTTACAGTTTTATGGACTCGTTTCGAGCTCTTCCAAGTTGAATGGGACATCATCGAAGATATCTATAGACGTCTCTGAGGCCACTCCATTTCGACCATTTAATCGAATGCAACAAATTCTTACTGGACTTTGATTGATGGCTTTAAAAGGTAAATATCAAGGCTGCATGTAGATGTATTGATTTTAACACTATCCTTGTTGTTTGCAGATGACTTCGAGAAGAAAAAATATCCCAACCCTAACATGTCTTCTATCTTGAGGACCACTTTCACAGTGAGCTCCCACACTTTTAAACCATCCTCCGTTGGAGCAAAGCATGTGAAAGAGAAACTAGAATGCCTTAGCAAAGAACATACTGAGAAGAGTGTTGAAGAGGCGACCAAGAATGTCGACAAAGGCAAGAGGAAAGTGGAGGAGCCTCAGAAGAAGAGGAATTGTCCCATGGTATTAGTTGTCTCTAGGAAGTTTGGCACAAGTGCCAGTGCCATAACGATGAAGTGAATTTTGCCTTCACCACCTCCAAAACTGATGCAGTCTTCCTTCACTACTACAAAAGCTCAAAAGGCTAGAGAGGCCAGTGAAGAGGCTTCCAAGGAAGTAGAGTAGACCTTTGAGGCCAAGAAGAAGGATCCAGTGGTAACAACTTCTGGAAAATTCGACAGATTTTTAGCTGGGTAAGATAAAGAGATTGCCCCAGTGGTGATAGATATGCTGCCACTAGAGGTCCAGGGTGTCACTATAAAATTTTACAAGCTCTGGATTGATAGGTGGCAGACTGCATCTCTATCTGTAATGCAATGGATCTAATAGCGACCTTGGTGATCCAAAGTATCAGGGCTTTTGGGTTACTTCAGAATACCAAGAGGTGCTGAAGGATATCTAAATGTACAATAAAGAGTCGATTGAGAAGTTGGCCTTAACAGAGAAGAAAGTGAAAAGAATAAAATGTAAGGCTAAGGAGTCGAAGGCCCCGTGAACTGAAGTGATGGCTAGGTTAGAATCTGCCTTAGTGGAGATTGAAGTTTTAAAGGGGAAAGTCCATTCATCCTAGTGTGAAGTGCTTTTTTGACAAAGAAGTTGAAACTTCAAACAATCTTCAGAAGCTAACGATCGAAGCTTTCGAGAAGGCCAACTTAGAAAATGTTGGGCTCAAGGATGCAAATGCATTTTATGAGATCCAAATGAAGTACTACGTACAAGAGGCGGATCGGGCTAAAGTTAGTGCTCAGAAGACAGGTAAGGAGGCGATGAAGGACTACACTGCCTATTTCCACTTGACGGTAGAGTGCCATCTCTTCGATGCTTGTTGGAGGAGGTTTGCCTACGTTAAAGTAGTTGCCAGGGTGGGGAGCTTTACCCAGAATTCAATGCTACTGAATTGATGGCAAAGTTTTTGGGAAAGGTGTCTTAAACCCTTGCTGATGACATGATTGAAGCTGAAGTAGACCAAGAAGATGCTCTTGAGAATGAAACTTCAGGCTAAGAGGTTTCAGTTGTTGAAATGCCTACTATTGAGGCATCAGCCTCCCATCCACCTTCAACATAG